ATAGATCATTAGCTTAAAATTTAATTTTTTCTTGTGATTATCTTCGCGCGTAATCTTTTACACTGATACATTTCTTACAATTAAATTTAATTTGAGTGAATAATTACAGATATTAATATTATTTTTATTTGAATAAAATAAAAAGAATTTTTAATTGATTTCAATTAACTTTTTTTTTGTTTAATTTTATTTAATGAACTTTTAAATTTTTAAAACACTTAATCTATAAGAAATGAAAATAAAGAATAAAATGATATCTGATTTGCAATTTTATCGTTTGAATTTTTCAATTTTTTGATATTTTTTTTTTTTTTTTTTTTTACATTTGTTATAGTTGTACAAAAAATGTACAAGAAATTTCTTTTAACAAGCGAGAAATTAGTATATAATATCAAGCCTTTCAAATTTTTTATCGAAAGCCCCAGATCTCTCATACATCATCGTCACCGTTACGAATGAGATGTTTTCAACGATTCGTGAAACCACTATCCATGTTTTACGTACTTAGAAAGTAAGGTGCTTTCCACAATCATTATCGATAGAAGTGTAAACGCACGTGTTTCATTCAAGACAAACAATAGATCTTTACCAAAGATTTGACAGGCGCAATGAATTTCTTCCGTGTTTGATAAATATGATAATTTCATTTGTTGAAGTACATTTGTTGGCTAACCAGTTTCCTTTGAACATATATATATATATAGATTAAAATATTTCACCACATTTCTCCTAGCTCTAGATATTTCTAGGTCATCGACATCTATGCTTTCAATGCATTTACACACGGTCAGCTGCGAATGAATTCGCTAAAACTTAACCAAATATCACTTTTCTCTAAACGATGATTCATCATATTTCTCCTTATACTTCTCTTTCTCCAACAGCTGTTCCTCATTTTTAATATGCCAGTGAAATCATAACGTTTAATTATTTAATATCGAATATCATACTTGAAATCATCATCAATCAATTCGAATACAAAAAAATTGCATAGAATTCTTGACAATTTGAGACACGTTTGTAAGATAATAAAAAAGATAAATTAAATGTTCGTAATATATACGAAAGATTAACATCGTTTTACGTGAATCTAATGAAATATCGTCGCTTTCCACTTCGTTCCCCGATCACCATACTTTATCGAGGGCATAATAAAAACCAAGGTCGCTTTCCCTTGCGCATGTTCACCGTAAATAGGATAAATTTTCTCTGTATAATATATATTTATAAAGATCCATCTCGCATGTCGTCTTAGAGAGTGAAAAATCGACATGGACATCACTTAACAGAACTCTCTCATTTTCCATTTATGTAGAATGTATTGGCTGTGTCTTGCGGCATTAACTGCGACCGTGGCAGCGCAAGGTTCTTACGATTTGGAACCAAGAGTGTCTTTTCCCGGCAAATCGTCCAGCTTAGGGCCACTCTACTCGTCTGGCCTTAATGCTGGTCAAGGTTTTCGCGATAACAGTTACGAGGATAACATTGTAACACCTACTCCTTCCCCAACGCCTGCCTACAGAAATCCAAGCAGTCAACCATCTGTAAGCAATAAAATTATAATGTATTTGTGATAAGTATGTTATTTAATTTAACATAAATTATAAATTATAAATTTTATTATACATATATATATATATATTTTAATGTAAGTATAAATTCGTATATTTTTCGATTAATATTATTAATTGCAATGAAAGTATATTACGCCATTATATTGCAATTACTTGTATCGTAATATATTATATAACAACTTACGTAAAAATAAGTTACTTTCAATTGGTTTAAAGTATCGACTCGTATATATTTATTAAATAATCGTATAAAATCGTACGATTTCTTTCTTCCATTCATTCTTCCATTTGAATGATTTGAAGAGGAAGAGTTCGATTACTTTTCATTCACAAGTATGAAAGAATACGAGTATATTTCATTTATAAACTAGACAGCACAAAAACTTCTTATTGGAAGTCTTAAAGACATCTGATGATAACCTATAAACTTGAAGATAATTTCTGAACTTTTATATTGCAAATTTTTACAGTAAAAAATTTCCAGGCTAAATATTGGATATATTTATTTATTTTTTTCATAATAAAGATAATATAATGAATAATAATTATATTATAAATAATTATTGAAAATTCAGGTGTCATTTAGACATTTATATTGAGACTTAAAATAATAGACATAAAATGAATATAGATTAAATTGTTTTAAAACACGTCCAAGAAATACTTTTCTTTTTTTTATAGCTTTATCGCAAACCATCGGCTGCATCTCTTGATCAAACAGGTATCAGAGTGAATGGACCTCCGCGTGGTATTCTTCGTGGTGGTCAACCACAAAATCCAAAAGTAATAATTTTTTTATAATTTAAAATCTTTTTAATATCTATCCAAGTATAAAATTTTATAAAACTTTGGGAGTTGTAACAGGTGAAACTGTTACGTTTTATATCTTATAATAAGTGAAAGTAGTATAAGAAATTCTTACATCTATATTTTCAATTTCATACAATAAGCTTACATAATAGTAAATTACATCAAAAAGAAAGAAATGAATTTTCGCAAAAAAATAAATCGTTTTATTTTTTGCATGTGATTTCGAATAATTATATATCTTTATTCCAAAAACGATGATTGCCGAAATAATCATTTTATGATAATTGAATTGATGTTAATTCTAAAAATACTTCGAAAAATCTATATTTCGAACGAATATTATAAAAAAATAAAACAGTTTATACAAATAATTTTATTTATTAAGTTCGAATTCAAATACATAATTGTGTTTAATTGTGTCTCAAAATTAAAGGAGGCTGAAGAACTTGAAGAAAAAGAAGAACCCGATCGTTTGACTCTTCTTTTACCGCAAAGTAAATTTGATTGTGTGAACAAACAAACCGGTTATTATGCCGATGAAGATCTTAATTGCGAAGTCTTCCACTATTGTCAAGATAACGCGAAACATTCTTGGATTTGTCCCGAAGGATTTACATTCCATCAGGTAATTTTCAACAAATGTACATAACAACTTTTAAATGAATTATATTTCAACGTAAGAATGCGAAACACTTTCCATACCTGTTCCGTAATTACACAAATCGTGATCTTTTATACATAATCCGAGTTGCTCGATGAAAACATTCACCGAATATAAATATTTCTTTTAACCGTACAACTAATCAGATTCAAACATTTATTGATAAGCAAATTTCACTTCTCATATATTTTGCATTCTATATTTTCACTCTAATATTTCTGGTTCTCTCCATTCGATTAAATAGATGATAAGGCTAATCATAAATCGTTTGGCTATCTAATACTCGTATACTGTTATGCATTTCCGGATTAATCTTACTTACATTCTTTTTCTCGATTAAGAGTATAACAAATATGAATGTATTGTGTCTGTTTTTCTCTGTATATTTCACTATTCCATAAAACTGTTTTCTCTCTTTAAACTCCGAAGTCATCAATCAGTGTGTCTCTGTTACAGGTTCATCTAATTTGCATGCCCCCAAGTGGGGACATAAACTGTAAGAAAAGCTCGCAATATCACTTTGTTAATGAATATCTTTATAAACCATTGAACTTGGCTGAAGCTGAAAACAAACCGAATGTGACCTTGAGATACAGTGAAAGATATTTCCCAGCAGATATTCATCCGGATGAGCGTGAGATTGGCGACTATCAGATTACTCCTTCTGCACCTATTCGCCGTCCCACTCCACCAGTAAGATTTTATTAAAATAATAATTGTTTGAAATATGAAGGATAAGATAAATAATAAATAAATATATATATATATATATACATACATGTACATAGGTATACGCAAATCCACAATCAGCTACATTGAATAGTATTCCATCATCAGCGCGTCCACAGCCAACCAATCTTCCACAATTTCGTTTACCAGTGAATCAAGTTTTTCGTAGTCCCGAGGAAGTGAACATTCCACTCCAGCACAGACGTCCGCAACCTCAACATCAACCTGTGAGAAGATTTCCTCAAGTACGACCTGATGATGAAGAATACGAATAAATTTAATCGACATTTATTTGATAATTGTCATTCATTGTTACATTCATCATCACAAATCTGTCGTTAATTATATTACATGTGATTTCATCATTCATATTGCGTTAAAATTATAAAAGAAGAAAGAAAATACTTCGGGATAATTATTATTTATTCAAATAAAATATAGTTTATAGTTCTTAATTAATTATCCAATTTTAATTATTAATCATTTCATATTATTAATCATTTTTCATATTTTTATTCTGTAAAAATTTGATAATATTTTTTAAATTGAAATTGATAATTGTATTTAATGTAATGAATATAAAATTATATTTGTACATTCTATAATCATATGTATAATCAACATTAATTCAAAAGTGATAATTAATAAATTGTTATTACATTATTTTTAATAACATATAAATATTTTTTAAACAAATATTTAAAAAATAAAAAAATCGAATAATTTTTAGTTTAAAATGATATAAAATTTAAATAAAATACATTTAAATTTGTGGAAAATTGACGGAGAAATAGTCAATTATCTGTTTAAACGAATTTTATGTAACAAGAAATATATAAAAAAATTAATTGATAAACTATTATGTATCAGATGGAATTAAAATAATTCAATTATTTTTTATTTTTATAAAGAAAATAATATTAAAATAAATATATGTGTATATATTGTATATTTATTGTAGCGAAACAAAACATCAATGTTTCATGTTATATCACGTAGTAATGAAGATTGTGAGAGCGTCATAGTGTGATTCGCGTTATATGTATAATATTTTTTTTAAATTTTCTAAGATATTTATACTAAATAAAAAATAGACAATTGAAAGAAATATAAAACAAGTTAGGATTCGTTTAATATGCATTGTTTATTGAATTGAAGGAATACAAATTTGGATTTTCTCTTGTTTGCTTTCATGCAATATGTAAGTATTTCTATGAATTTCGCCATATTGTTTGCTACACTACCGCCTTCTGAAGTAAAAAAGGGTTCAGGGTTAGAATCAAGATATCACTTCGTTTGAGTGACTTAATGTTGCTGTGTACTCTTTTCATTTTGGAATGAATTTATATAATTTCATTTATCACATTCTTCAAGTGAAATACAAACAAACTCGATAAATTTAATACTGTCAACATAAAAATTATCAGTGGGTTTTCATACACCATTAATAAACGAATTCAATAAAAAATTTTAGAAATGGCTGCTGCTGCTGCTGCTGCCCTGCTTGATGAACTTATGGGAAGAAACAGAAATGTTCTTCCTAATGAAAAACCTAAAGAACTTAATTGGGAAGATCCTGAAGTAAGTTTTTGAAAATGTTGATATTTCAATGACATTAGTCATTAAGAAAGTCAAATTCCGGAGTATTGACATTCATCATAAATTTTCCTTGAATTTTTATTTTCCATTCCAGTTTTGTAAATTATATTTAGTTAAATTTTGTCCTCATGATTTATTTGTTAATACGAGAGCTGATTTGGGTGCATGTTCTCGAGTACATGATGATGAAGCTAGAGAACTGTTTGAAAAAGCTCCATATTCATATCGAAAACAACAATATGAAGATGAATTTATTAGATTTTGTCAAAGTATGTTAAATGAGGTCGAAAGAAAAATAATAAAGGGAAAACAACGATTAGCTCTTATTGGAAGAACTGAAGCGGTAAATAAATTTCTAATAATCAGTATTATTTAAAATATTATATAAATATAAATATATTATATATTATTTAAAATATTATTTAAAATATATTTTTTTCTTTTTTATTAATTATAACAATCTTGTTACATGCATTGATATAAAATGAGTGATGAAAAGATTATCAATTCTTATTTAGCCTACTTTAACACCAGCACAAACTCAGAGAAATGAAGAACAAATTGCACTTTTAACTGAGAAAATTAATAAATTAGTAGAAGAAGCAGAACAAAGTGGTATACAAGGTAATGTGGAACAAGCTCAAGGTTTAATGAGATTATGTGATCAATTAAAAGAAGAACGAGAAACATTAAGGAAATCTAATGACAATAGTCATTATAATCAGGTAAATATTGTTATATATCATATTAATATTGTAAAGAAAAAACAGAGAAAATTAAACTTTAACTTATTTTAGACTGCCGAATTAGCTGCTGCACAAGAAAAACAAATGGAAGTATGTGACGTATGTGGTGCATTTCTTATTGTTGGAGATGCACAACAACGAATTGATGATCATCTAATGGGTAAACAACATGTTGGATATGCTAGACTAAAGAGTGCTCTTCAAGAAATTATGGTAATTTATAATTTTTGTACAAATAGATTTTTTAAATAATAAAATAATATTTATTATAAAAACAATTTTAGAGTAAACGTGAAAAAGCTAGAGATGAAAAAGAACAAAGAAGAGAAGAAGATAGGAAACAAAGAGCACGTGCCAATGAAGAACTTGATAGACGAAGAAGAGATGATCGAGATAGAGATAGAGAAAGAGATAAACGCCGTAGACGTGATGACGATAAAGGCAGACATGATTCAGGCAGTCATAGGTAAAATAATTACTAAAATGTTTTTCTTAACTTATTAAATATAAAATATAATAGGAAATGTTTTATAATACTAATTGTATTTAGAAATTCGGGACACAGAAGTAGAAGTAGATCAAGAGATAAACATGAGAGACATCGAGATGATGATCACCGACGTCATACACGAGATAAAGGTATTTAAATATAACATACATTGTAAAATTTAATCATTACTAAATAAGAAAATTTTAGGAATTTTAGAAATTTATTACATATTTTTAGGAAATCGTGATCATCGAAGCTCGAGTCATCACAACCGGCGACGCCATCGATCTAGAAGTCGAAGTCACAAGTAACAACTCTTGATTGGTTAGTGAGTGAGAAGTAAGCCAGGTATGCACTAAACAATATAGCATATTCGTCTCAATTACTGTACAGGTTCTTTACCAGGTGAGTTTCATTAGATGCACATAATATATACATGATAATTATCTGTAATTTTGAAGAATGGCATAGTCACAGCGAGCCAGTCTCTGGTCCTGCCTATTAATCGGAGAAACACTTGTACTAAATTTCATATGGACCTGTTTGTACAGCGTTTAATTTTGAAAGTGACGAGCTTGCTCTATGTAACGTATTACTGAAAAACGGTGCATCGAGGTAATGTCGAGCAAGGAATAGTAATATTGTTCCCATACGAAAGGTATTTTTATCATGTAGTATTATAGATATTGTCTACAGAGCAAGATAGGAGAAGGTATACCTATGCTTGCTTTGATCGGTATAATGTCTTCATAGGGTAAATCAATTATATAATTTCAACGACTGCATAGCTTTTTTGTCGAAAAGAAATTAGTGGTTTAGTGGAGGAAACAGTGCCTACTTCCGTAGACCTGCCACAACAGTGCCCTGTGTGACTGTGACTATACAATCCTAGCTTCTACTACGCATTTCTGAGGTATTTATATCGGAATGATAATACCAAACATGTCCTTTTATTAGGAAAGTTAGACATTTTCAAAATGGTGATCTTTATTTTCGACGATATTCGAGTGCTTATAAAGTTATAAAGTTATGATAATAATCTCCTACTCTTACTTTCCTTATTCCCTGATTGCAATTTATTGGAGCATATTCTATTTAAAATTGAAAAATTATCAATTAGTCAGGGAAGATTTCTGCTATGAACTCAAAAGGAACAATTTTAATATTTGAATTTAAGACAATAAAGCAATAGTTTATAACAGATTCATATGTATAGTCCAGAAATGTATATTTATTTAACAGCCATGTGGCTATTATTGATTCAGAATGTAATTTTGGCATATAGTCTTATCGTCGTCATTTGAACTTTATTTGTAAAAGTTCGAGTAATATGTATCATATGATGCATTCTTCCCTTTGCATGCATTTTTTCTCCATTATTTTTAGTTTTGAGAGACAGGACATGGCGAAGCTCGGTCAAATTTTTCTATTAGAAAGTTGTATACATATAAATCTCATAGTATCATGGTACAGCGATTTGAAGGTTGATGACAGGTCACGTGGAATGTGTCTTATGGTGCTCCGAGGACATCTCCTTTAATCATATCTTATTCTTTTGTCGCGTCCTTCATTTCGGCTTATAGAGAACTCATACTTTATGCGCGTACTACATTTGTGTATTCATATTAAATCATAATAAATCATTTATATACATTTAATAATTTGTTTTTGAACCAACTAAATTAAAAAAAAAATCTTTTTAAGAAAAAACAAAATACCAAAATAACAACTTTAAAAAAACGATCATCTTATATTGTTGCATTGGGATGAAAAGAATCTTGATAGTGAAAAATTCTAATTGTTTCAAAATTACAAAATTAAAATTTGTTGTCTTCGTCATGATAGATTTTCATTTTTCACTTATATATTGTTATATTTTAGATTCTTTTATAAATGAGATTACTAAAAATAGATTTAATAAAACATTATTTGATATAGATTTCATTTACACAAAATAAAAAATAAATTTCTTAATTCATATTAAATTTTTCTATTAACAAACAATAGATCAATAACATTTATTATTTATAATTTTTGTGACAGTTAATACAAGTTTGCAACATATATCAATTTTTTTTTATTTTAATTTTATATAGTTTAAAAAATAATTTTATTTTTCCAATGTCACAATCAAAGATGATCAATTTTAATTATGTAATTTACCTTTCACACATGTAGCCGACAGAAGTATGATATTTTTATTAAATATGTCATGTATTAGGTCAAGGTTAACAAATAATATACGAGTACGTTATCCTGCTGTTTGGTAACGACTTAAATTAATATGAAAGAAGAAATAATGAGGATTATCAACATTTGAAAGTTGTATTGTCTATTTTCAGACAGAAGACATGCCATGGAGATGTAACCAATGCAACAGGCTCACTTGCACACTGCTTAATATAATATTGAGGTAAAGATTTTGCATAATCTAAAAATTCCAATCATGAATTTTATACACCTGCGTTTGGTTCATTTTTATTACATCGCGTTTTCTTGAAGTTAATTACAAGAAAAATCATAAAATTAAAAGAATTGAATACATAATTATTGTTATCAACATTATATTATGATATAGGAAAAAAATTAAAAACAGATTTATTAGTAATTTATTCTTATTTGCAAATGTTACTCTAGGCTACATATGATAAAAAATATCAAGGTAAATTGTCTATAATTTGCATTGTAATACTCTTAAAATTGTTAATTAAAATTAATAAAACAATACTACAATAAAAGTATCAGGTTATTTTGAAAAACATACAAAACATTAAAATAGTCAGAATTATAAACAAAATAATAGATACTGTACAATTTTTAACATTAAATTATAAAATTTATTAAATAAATATATACATGAACAATATACTATTGAGCGATAGGATATTCTATCTGAATACTGTACATAGTAGTAATATTTGCTATGATACAATGATTTGCTATAATCAAATTATCTTTGTATAAAACTAAAATACTGTATATCAAGTGTAAATATTCGTATTGGCTGAATGACTGATTTTATCATGCGTAAATTATTTCATTTTTTTAAATTTTATGTCAACGAATCAAAGAGTTATATCATTAAATAGAAAAAATTTTACTTAAGTCCCATAAATTTTGTAACCTAAAAATAATATATTATTTAATTCGTATAATTTGTTTTAGAATTTATATTGTCTTAATAATAAAAAATTGAAAGATTTAATAATTTTGCTACCTCTTCATATACGGTCCAAGCCATTGCAGTCATTAATGTCCTTCTCAATATTCGTGGAACAATGCCTTTAAAGTATCCTAACATACCATATTTCTTGTAAATCCTAAAAACTGCGTTACGAACATTTTTAAATTCATTAGGATATAATTGCATTTTTGTCTTGATTACATCAGCAGGTTGTGTTACAGTAGAAGCAAATATTCCTGCTAATATTCCACAACTGAAATGAATTGGAGCAGATGATTTGACATAGGGCAAATCTAAAAACAAAATTTATATTAAAACATATAATTATTATAAGAATAAGTTGGTTTTAGACTTCTTTTAATTTTAATGAAAAATTTACCTGCTTCTATAACAATATTTTTTAATTGTGTATAAAACGTGAGATAAAGGCCGCTGTAAGGAGCATCTCTTAGTAATGTTGGTACTAATCCACTCGAAAGACCTCTTATTCCTTCCTGCTTGTAAATTATTTTCAATGCTTCTCCTACACTGTTATATTTATAAATTTCACTCTGTGAAAATAAAATCAATATTTTCGTAATTTCATGCAACTCGTATTAAGTAGAATATTCTAGATTATTAGTATTAGTATTTTTATGCCTAATCACATATCTAATTTTACTTTCTGTATATTTTTCTTTCTATGATGTATAATATATTATATAAAAAATGTAAATATATTTATAATAATATCACGTACTTCAAAACGTGTTTTTACTACTGTTATTGGAATTAATAAAGCTCCAGACATAGATCTTGCAGTAATGCCTAATAACAGTGCTTCTGTAGGTGTGAGTGGATCTTTTACATGCAATGTATGCTTTAACCAATGTAATGATGAAAAATATAATCCAACACCAGGTACAACTCTTGTAATGGACTAAAAAATTAATTAATATATCTTGATAAAATTTTTAAACTTTATAATTTTTTTAAAATTTAAAATTCTTACCGGAGTTATACCTTTCCAAAGTCCAAGTATATTTTCATTTTTAATGATATGAATTACTGTACCTAAAGTATTAGTTTTTGGAGTACTAGATCAAACATAAAATAGTAATAATTAAGAAGAAATTTTATATATAATTTTATAAAATAATGAAGAAAATAAAATTTTTCACTTACTCAAGATGAAGATTTACTTTGCTTTGAAGTCTGGTTTTAATAAGATCTAATGGTTGAAATAAAATAGTTGAAAATGTTCCAGATAATGATCCCGCGAGAAAAGATTTCAAAATAGGATACTAAAAAAAAAAAGAATTTTCATTTCAAAAATATATTTAAATAAACGATATATTCCTAATTAAATATTTTTAAGATACTATACAAATGTATCTATATTCATAAAAATAATCAAAAAAATAATGTATATGAAAAATATCATACAATAGATGTAGATATTAATACATAAATTATTCTTATTATTGTAATAAATATATGTTATATCTTGCACGAGTTTGCTCACGTGAGTTATAAATTTCCTTTAAAAGGTCATTATAATTGTTATCTATAAATGCAGTTCCTTGGGTCATCAATATATTACAAAATAATTTTTTTTTATTTATTAACTATTTATTTTAGTCATAAACTATATTCAAACATATAAAAACAATAAATTATGATTATTTTTTATAAAAAAAATAAATAATAATTAATTTATGAAAAAGATTAATAATAATTAATAGTTTGGCACAAATATAACATTTCTAATAATTATTATATTTTAATACTCTTTTAAATATTAAAATTTTATTTTTAATATTATTAAGTACTACTTTCAATACTATTAAAATCATTAATATATTTAATTGTATAACAGATCAATATTTATGATAGTCGTAGAATAGATAATTTTTTATTTTCTTTTTCAGCTTATACTTGTAAATTTGGGACATCAAACTTGCAATCTCATAATGCAAATGAACACATGAGATACTAAATGGTGGATACTGCTCCACATAAATCATCTCCAATCCAGTACACCTCTTTTTCTAATTAGAGGTATTTTTTATTCAAATATCTTAGTATCTCTCTTTCTCTCTTTCTTTCTCTCTTTTTATTCAATTTATAAGATAAATTTTGTCAAAATAACTTTACTTAATATATTTATTTCAATACTTTTATATTTTTTATATAATATTAAGTATAAAATATTATAATTAATTTTATTAAAAGATAACTGTTGATACAAAACAAATATGTTAAATAAAATTATTTAAACAGTCATATAGCTTCACCTATAATAATATTTACCCTTTATCAGACATTTTCATTATAATTAAAAAAAAAATTCATTACATAAAAAATCAAAAATTATATCAAATAATTATTATTCAAAAATAATAAAACTGAAATACTTACACTTCCAAAAATCTCCATAACATAAAATTTATTGGAAGCTTAAAAATGAATGAAATTTGAAATTATAATAACTATTTCTAAATATAACACAATAGTAAAACAAAAGATACTTTCCTAATGCTTACTTTAATGTCACCAAGATACTGAGTATGTTATAAACGTGACTGTTACTTACATCTTCTTTTATCTTCATCTCATTATGTTCGGGGTCAATAGAATAACCCTGCATATCGATACATTCTTCAGTAAAAAATCAAAAAATATTAAACTGAAACGTGAATTAAACGTGACTTAATATGAAACGTGAATTAAACGTGACTTATGAATATGAAATGTTTCATTATATTTTATCTAAAAATATAAAAATATAAAATATATTATTTATTAATTTTAATCTCAAATTATCATTTCCTATTTTTATATTTAACAAAATACATTTAATTATTATAAAATTTAGAAATAATTTTTCAAAAAGCTTTAAAAAAAATTTTTTTAAATTTATTCTATTAGAACAATGTAATTATAAAAAAAAAATAAATATTTATTTTAAATATTAAATTTTCATGTATATATCATAATATTGTATAATAATAAATGTGATATATTTATAATTAATCAAAGAATTTATGAATATCAAAATTTTTCGAATATTCATAAAAATTTATATTAGGTTAGAATTAAAAAATTTAGATAAAAACAATTTTATTGCTTGTTATAAAATATGTACATATTGCAAATGTTATTTTATTATTATATTTATACGTACTTTGTATGGAACATACAAAATTAAAACAAAAACAGAATTAAAATAATATCAACAACAATGAAGAATACAAAATTCTATAAAAATATCACAAGGCTTATAAAATTAATTTCTTATCTAAAAATTAATTGTTTCAAAATAAATTTGTTTACAATATTTTTCATAATATATTTATAAATACATATAAATAAATAATGAATAAATTGTTTATTTTAAATTTATATTTATAATTAAAAAGTAGTGAAAATAATTTATTAATTATTTTATATAGAAATACGAAATATATTTTTCAATGTAATATTATTATAATACAAAAATTGATAAAATATATATACATGTATATCATTCATTAAATATTGAAATGAATTATGTATATAAATTGATCTATTATAATTTAAAGAAAATCATATTATAAAAATATTTAAAAAAAAATAGAAATATATTTAAATAATTTTAAATATTTAAAAAAAAATATTTAATTTTTTTTTTATTAATATATTTATTCAAATATGATAAATAAGAAAACAAGTATTTTTTATATATAATAATGTAAGTAATATAAGTAGATTTTTGATCAGAATATTTAATAATTTAATATTGTATAAGATATTACTAAACATTAATATTTTTATATATTTTTAAAAAAGCCGCTAGTTAAAATGTATCAGACTTCCTGTTTAAGCGCTGCATTCGCTCTAGAATTATAGCTTTACAGTGTGAGTTCGGCCATTTCGACTTTTCTTCCAACGCAGTGTGGTTGTTACTCTTGCACAATTGAGAGTAAGGTATGATATTTATTTAAAACTTATTTAAAAATTCAATTTATTTTAATTACAATATGGATTTCTGAAATTTATTAATTTTTTTAAAAATAATTAATTATTAAGCAAATTAAATAATTTTTTTTAATTTAATTACGTATCTTTAAACGTACACGTGATGTTAATATAAGTTTTATATGCATTATTTTAGTAGATAATATTTTATATTTAATATAATCAATATAAGAAATATAATATCACAAAATTATAATAAATTTGTTTTTTTAAAAGATACATATATAATATATAAGACAAACATTTTTTTCATTAAATACATCTCAGGATTATACAAAATGGTGAATGGAAGAATACCTTCAGTTTTCTCAAAAACTTATGTTACCCCAAGAAGACCTTATGAAAAAGCTCGTTTAGATCAAGAATTACGAATTATTGGTGAATATGGTCTTCGTAACAAGCGTGAAGTATGGAGAGTTAAATATACTCTCGCAAATATTCGAAAAGCTGCTCGAGAACTTCTTACTTTAGAAGAGAAGGATCCTAAACGTTTATTTGAGGGTATGAAATGAACTATATATATTTTTAAATTAATAAATTCTTAAAACTTTCTTATAAAATAATTATGATGAATGTATATTTTTGACACCTCTTGTCTGATTGATAGTTTTGATGATATATTCTACTGATAAAATCATATAATTAATATTATTACTCTATATTTTAACATTTTATACATTGAAATATATATTTATTAGGAAATGCTCTTTTACGTCGTTTGGTAAGAATTGGAGTACTAGATGAAAGCCGTATGAAGCTTGATTATGTTCTTGGTTTAAAAATTGAAGATTTTTTAGAAAGACGACTTCAAACTCAAGTATTTAAATTAGGGCTTGCCAAGTCTATACATCATGCTCGTGTACTTATTCGTCAACGTCATATTAGGTAAATTTTACTAAACTTAGTTTTATATGCCTTAAAAAATGGGCAAGAAATAACTGATTATATACAGATTTTTTTCTAATCTTTAAGGCAATATTAATCTCCTGATTAATCACCAGATAAAAATAAATATTTATCTGGTTTCATATCTGGAAACATAATTTTTATTTTTTTGTGAAACAAGTATTTCAATCGCTTTTATTAATTTTACTTAATTATAAAATATGGTAGTAATAGTCTTTTGACTACTGCAGGTATTCATATACTTTTCCTGATTGATTATTTCTTCAAAATGATAAAAAAAAATGTGATTTAAATATTGGATGGGTTATTATATTATAGTATTGAGCTAAGATGCTCAAGAATATGAAGCAATACATTATAATATTTTCTTTCAAACAGGCCACTTAAGTGTTAGTAAAACTTCACTTAACGTCTGTTATATATTAATGGATACATATTATAATATTTTCTTTCAGACAGGCCACTTAAGTGTTAGTGAAACTACACTTAACGTCTGTTATATATTAACGGATATAAATTCATTTTAAAAATAATTGGTATATTTTTTTATATGTTCAATAGCATTATAAATTCATATTTTGAAATATTAAAAATACAGAATATTGAGAAATAAGAATTAATACATAAAATGTATCTTATATCTTATTTCAGAGTACGCAAACAAGTAGTGAACATTCCATCTTTCATTGTAAGATTGGATTCACAGAAACATATTGACTTTTCACTAAAATCTCCATTTGGTGGTGGCAGACCTGGCCGTGTAAAGAGGAAGAATCTGCGTAAAGGAAGTGGAGGAGCTGCTCCAGAAGAAGAAGAAGATTAAATAATTTTTTGTAATACTTTATTTAATAAAAGTATGCCTTAAATTTTATATTGTTAAATGATTTTCAGATTATATTTTTTATCATTGTCTATCAATAAATATTTTTACATTTCTGTATGTAATACAGAATTTTATTAACTAAATATTATGTTTAATGACAAGTAAAAATATAAATGCTTAATCCTAATATAAAGATAAAAAAAATAGTATAAATTTTTTAATCAATATAAAAATTTCTTGCATAATAGTAATAAAATTATTAACACAATAAGTGAAAAAGGTGATTCAATTTTGCTGAAAAATATTCTCAAATTTTAGTATGATAGTTAATGTGCAATTTATTATTTAATATAATAAATATCTTATTTGTCATATTTAATATCTAAAAATTGAATTACTATTTATTCATTATTTTATATGAAAATTTGATTATAAAATTGATAAATATTCAAAATTCTAAATATTTTTAATATTAATAATCTAAGTTTATCATATTAATATTTAATGTATATAATTTTTATTAATAAAATAGTTGTATCAATCTGTCAGTTTTACTAATTCCTAGTAATTCCTAATAATGCTTCATATATATTTTTATAAAAAGGATTGTTTAGGTACTTTATTATAGAAATGTTATGTAGTTTCGATTAATAATGAAAAAATTAGTTAAAACAGGCTTGATAGAAATAAGGAAAAAATAGTAAACAGGGAATTAAGGAATAGAAGTTAGAAAAGAAAAAATATCAATATATATGTGCAATGCTTAAACATATAGAAATATGAGAATATTACAGCAATCAACGTTTATGTGACACGAGCATTCCTATATAATCCGAAATCAGAATTTTTTTGTTATTCAGAAAGTTGTTTTTTGTTATTAAAAATACAGGTATATATTATTGGAATGGTTATTTTTGGAATAAAAAATATGCTATTTGTTTTATAATAATATATTTTTTCAAATAAACAATTTTTTAAACTTTCCAATTTGAAAAGTTTTTGTTAACTGTATTTTAATATATTATATTCAATTCAATAATATTTTAAATTATTTTCGAGATAATTCTTTGAAATTTAAATTTTAAAAAATAATTTTTTATTTCTTGAATCATTTGTGGACATCTCATTAAATTATAATCATGAATAAAAATATATATGTGTCACTAAATTGAATAACATTTCAAAATTTATATATATTTCTTTCCTCAATTGGCATTCTTATTGTATTTTTTTAAAAAAGCATTAGCCGCAGCCGTTATGTTCTAGCAGATCATTGATTTTTGCAAGTTGGGATAAGACGGCAAAGCATTTTATCCCTTATGAACAAAAACTTATGATATTCAGTTAAAATATAAGACAACTACAATCATTTTATAAATAAATTAAATTTAAATATATAATATGAAAACATACAATATGAATAAATGTGAAATATCTACTTATTTATTATACCTTATTATGCTCTTAGGTTATATATATTTTATATTATATATTATATATTATGCTATTTTTAAAACTTATAAAATTTTATCCAAATTATACAGGATAAAACAGATTGTTCATAATAATAATCGTAAACTTTTTAATTTAATTTTATCAAAAAGTACAAAGTACATTGTGATATATTTTATATATTTTATTTATTGAATAATAAAAATAATAATTACTATATATTAATAAATATATTATCAATTAATATGATTACGCAATCTAACATATAAATATAATAATAAAGATAAATACATTATACCACAACAATATATTATTAAAAGATAAAATTTAATTTAAAAAAAGATATTTATTCTATTTTTTATTTTTTTCATTATTATTTTCAAGTTATAACTTACATAATTAAAAATTCTTATTGTAATTGATTTGAACATGGCATAATAACAAAGAGTTGATATGATAACAGTGTTGGCAATATGACTTGAAATTTGAAACCTAACGAGATAGTGTTGCTTTAGCTATGATTACGTAACGTTAAAGAATTTTTTAAGGTTTGTCGATCTTGTCGAAGTCCAATATTCAGCTATGTTCAGAGTAT